TGAGAAGACTAGGCGTAGGGTTCTTTCTTTTCTCCTTCAGTAGTGAAAATGACGCTTTAGATATTCTTGAGTGCGAACATGATCAAGTTTGGAGTCCAAAGTTATGACTAGGGAAGTGGAATCCTCTCGTCGGTGTGTTGAGAAACGTGGGGCCTTAAAGCTTCGTTTGGATTAATGTCTTTGGCATTCCTCTTCATTCTTGGAGTTTCCATATCATCAGGGAGATTGGGGATGCTTATGGGATTTATAGGTTCGTTGACTCAAGAACTCTGGACTGGAAGAACTTAGTGCGTGTATCTTAATTGAGGTGGAGGAAATTCATCTAGTCCAACAACATCCCTTTTGTTTCACTTTGGTGGAGAACTTTTCGATTTAAGAGTGGTAATAGAAAGAACTTACCCAGGCGGTTGACTTAATCTCCCAGTCTTGAGTAAGGAGGAAGGAGGTGCTTCTCAAGATCCCTCTAGTTCAAGAAGGCGGAAGTCGAAAAGACTTTTCATGGAGATAGTTTCGAAGGTTGAAGATGAGGGTAGTTTGGGTACAAAAAAGGGTTTCGTTTCTAGTGGAGTTGTCATGTTGGCTCTGCTGGACTTTCGAGACTTTGGAAAAGGAAGGAGCAATGATTTGGGGGTAAGATCGAACAAGGAAGAGGGGAGCGAGGCCCACTTAGTGGTAGCTGTTAGGGAAGATAGAAAGTTCCCATCTCCGCATCTTCAAGGGGTGTCTAACATCGGGGATGGAGATTCCACTGGGGCCTACTCTCCAAAGGTAGGGATTATTAAGAGGAGTGAAATTCTCTTTAAACATGCTATCAAAGGTAGGCGACCGAGTAGTCTCGTTTTGAACTTGGCTCATAAGCAAAGAAATGTCAAACTGCACAAGGGGTCGACGCTGAAGGTTGTTGAGAGACCTGCTATCGAGAGAACTTCTTCTAATGCGACATGGAGTCCTGGCTACAGCGAAGGTGCTTCTGGTAGCAACAATCAAAATTGGGGAAATTTAGTGGCGTTAGATGTTGTAAGTCCAATGGGGGACTACGGTGCGTGTTGATGTTTTGGGATCAGCTATGATCAAAGTAGCAAAGAGTTGGTAGAAGTTCTCGAAGATGCTCTTCCAAAGCAAAACTTTGATGCAATTGCCAAGGTCCCTTCCTCAACTAGATTAGATGTTTCTAGAGCAGATAGGGAGATCCACAGAGAAGCGGAGATTGGCCTGATGGAGGAGGAATTTTCTACCAACAGGTCTATTGTTGCCACCCTCGCAGGAAACATTGTTATTGGAGGTGGAGGAAGTGAATTTGTTGGTGAGGAGCTTTGTTCACCATCCCAGATCAAAGACAATGTTGTTGATTGATCTTCGTGTCTTCGAGGAGGTGGTGATCGGGTAATTAGGCGTCGATTTGGGTAGGAGGGGGGAGGATAAGAAAGATTTGATTGGGACTGAATCTGTGACACCCAAAAAGTGTCAAGGAGCCTCTGGGGTGAGACTCTCACATATTATGCATGTAACCAAGATCTTTTCCCGTCTGAAGCTTGATTTGGTTGGGTCTGGCCCTACAAAGAACTATAAAAGGGTGTACATAAGGAATAGTAAGACTTCTAAAATTTCAAAGCAAAGCCTAGATATTGAGAACTCTGGCATTGCCTCTAACTTGGGTAAGCAGCTGGGGAATGGTCATCTTGTTGGCGCCCCTGAAAAGAATTCCAATTCTGTCGTTAGAGAACTTGATAAAAGTCTTGAAAAGGTGGAGAAAACTGGTTTTGTCTCGTTCAAGGCAGTAAAGGATGTAAAAATTGGTAAAAGCTTGGGTTTGTTTTTCAGGGGAGGTGAGGATTTCGCCTTAAAAGCTTTTGAAGAGTTTGAGAGGAAGAAGGAAGAAAGCTCGAGAAAAGGGTTAATTGGAAGAGGGAGATGGGATTAAAGATGGCGACAACCAAGAGGAGGCCTTGATGGAGAAGTTTAGCTTATCTCTTCTGTTTGTACCTTTTTCACTGTTTTCTGTTGTCCTTTTGTTCTTGGCCTAGGTTTTGGTGTCAGAGGGTTTTGTTTTGCTGTGCTGTTTGGAGTCTTTGTCTGTTGTTTTCTGGTGTGAGAAGTGTCTAAGTCAGTTTTTCTTCTCTCAGGTTATTTCTTATCACCTTCCTATGTATTTCTTTTTATTTTAATGAATTTTCTCTTTACCTTTCCAAAAAAAGTATTGATAAGGAGGTATATATGGTTCAGCCCCCCAGGTTTCAGCTTCAAGGAAGTGAGGAGAAAGTTTATCTTTTGAAGAAATCATTATATGGGATGAAACAATCCCCCAAAGTCTGGTTTGAAAAGTTTAACAAGGTAGTTCAACAAGTTGGATTTTTGCAGTGTCAAGCTGACTACACATTTTTTGTAAAGGGGAGATCTTGTTGCCGTTCTGATTGTGTATGTGGATGAGATTGTGATTACCAGAAATTGGTAAGAAGAGGTTCAGAAGCTGAAAGAATTTCTAGCTTCACAATTCGAGGTAAAGGATCTTGGCCCATTCAAGTATTTCTTTGATTTAAGTTGCTTGGTCTGATAAGGGAATCTATATTTCCTAAAGGAAGTTTATTTTTGGCTTGTCTGAAAAATCACTTTGGTAGAGGCATTCTCTTTACCAAGCAAGGCCATACTAGAGTGGAGGGTTATATTGATGCTAACTGGGCTGCTTTTGTGGATAATAGAAGATTCACCACTAGTTATTGTACATTTGTAGGAGCAATCTGGTTACTTGGAAGAGTAAGAAAGGGCCATGTCTCAAGGAGTGGCTGAACTTTTGTGGTTAAAGAATCTTATTATAGAGTTGGGCATGTGGAATTTAGAGCCAGTGTCTTTATATTGTAACAAGGCAGCCATTAGTGTTGCTCATAATCCAGTTCTCTATAAGTAGACTAAGCACATTGAAGTTGACAAGCACTTTATTCATGGGAAGTAGACCTGTTCATGGACCGGGTCGGGCTGGGCTCGGGCCAGGCTTTTGCTCTTCATTAACAGAAATGTTTCAGGCCCGAGCCTGAGCCTGGCCTGACCAATGGGCCTACAACTTGGGCCCGAGCTTGAAGCCCACCTGGGAGTCTGAACGTTGGTGCCTGAGTTCGCCTCTGAGAGTGAGAGAATGGTGCCTGAGTTCACCGTCGGAGAGAGGCGACCTAGTTTTGGTGGTGCCAACCGCCAGTGCTTGAGTTTGTAGAGTGAGAACAGTGCGCCTCGGTTCGCCGGTTCTGAGAGTCTGAGAGTGAGAAACTGAGAATGAGAAGAAAAGTGAGAAGATAGAAGATGAAAACGGTGCCGTCTGGAGAGAGAGAGCTCATTGCCGGAGAGAGAGACAACGTGTCGGCCGCCGGTGCCTGAGTTCGCAAAGTGAAAACGGTGCGCCTGGGTTTGCCTATTCTGAGAGTTTGAGAGTGAGAAACTAAGAATGAGAAGAAAAGTGAGAAGAATTTAGGGTTAGGGTTAGGAGGTTTAGGAATTTAGGATTTAAACTATATAAAAGTTGGGTCAGGCTTTTTTTGACAAATCCTGAGCCTGGCTCAAAAAATATCGAGTCGGGCTTTTAGGCCCGAGGTCAAGCCCGCAAGCTAAAACTCATGTTTAAGCCCGTCCGAGGGCCGGGCCGGGCTGGCCGTTGGGCTACCCAGCCCATGAATAGGTCTAGTGGGAAGGTTGGAAGGGGTGAAATACGTATGCCATTTGTTCAATCAAAAGAGCAATTGGCTGATGTTTTTACCAAAGGTGTATCTACCTTACATCATTTGAAGCTATGTAACAAGTTGGGTATGCATGATATTTACAACCCAACTTGAGGGGGAGTCTTGTGAGGGGTGTTTCTGAAATGTGTCAATGTAGGGAGTATCTTGTAATTTCTTTCACTTCAGGGATTACTTTGTCAATATTTTTATTTTATAATATAACAGGGCACAATGGGTGCCATCACTTATCCATGAGATTTCTTTCTCTACATTTGACTTCTCTCTTCCTTCTCCTCTCCTCCCTTCAGAAAGGCTTTCTTAACATATTACAGTATCCAACTTTTCTAGGATTAGTAGATTTATAAACACGCTTAACTCAATGTAGCTAGCAGAATACTTTTTTAAGACTGCCTTTTACGAAAGCCACAACTTTTTTAATGAATCCTGCCTGATATCTTATTGATGATAGACATACACAAAAAATTAAATCTGAATTTCATTTGCAGAAAACAGAAAACTAGTAAAGGAATTTATCATGCCCTGCTATGTGATTGCATACATAATATACTTTCATTGCTCTGTTTCTATTATTTACTTTTGACTGATTGTGTTGATGAAGCCATTCATCAAGCGTACTTGTAAATTCATGTATATAGCTGTTTCAAATTCAAAGAACACTTGTCTTCCTTTATTCTTTTCTTTTCTTTGCTGCCACCTCTTAGCAGCAGACTTGTCATTGTACTCAAAATTTTATTAAATTAGATTATATCATTCGAGGACTGCAAGGCATCTCACATTTTGGTCCCAATATCATTCTTCTCTCTTTTTCTTCCCTACTGTTTTGAAATGTTTCTACCTGTCTTCTTTGTTCTTTCCTTAAACATCAAATTATTTACAAGTTCATTTTCTGAAGTGATTCATCTCTTTCTAGTCAAACAACAACAAGCCAATTATGCAAAGAGGATAAATGATGTAAAAGCCAAAAGTAAAAAGGTATAAAGTTAATACCCAACACTTTTGAATCTTGCCAAGATAAATAAATTTATACAATATCCATAACTGTTGATTAATTGCATTGCCCTTTATCTTGAATTCCATTCTATTACTTAAGTTGCTAGTTGAAATTTTGTTTTATTGTCAAATTGGACTTGTTATTTCTGTAGGGCTTCCCATCTAATGACATCCTTTATGAGTTATGATTGGAAATCCTTTTTTTGGCTTTGGAACTATTTTTCTTCTATTTCCCCATCACCCCTCATCTTCATTGACAGAAATGGTTAAGCTTTTCCTTTGTTGCAGGTGGGTAAGGGCTGTTGACGAATTCCTCAGCGTCCTATATGACAGCCCATTCATGCATAAACAAAAGAAGGTGGCACAAAACAATGTTCATTATTCTCTAGTTGGTTTGTTGAATTAACTGTTAGAATGGTAGTACATTTTACAAAAACCGATGCCATTGGACTCTTGACACAATATCCTTGAGGATTAATCTCAGTGTGTACTATCTTGTTTACTCACCAATTTATGCAATCTAAAGTTGATTTTTCAAAAATTTAATATTGTTCATTGTTTTGAATTGCAGGCACAATGTTTGGGCATGCACATTCCACAAGAATCTTCAATTGATCAGGGACCTTATGTAAATGTATTGCAAGATGGGATGGTAACCGCAGCAGGGAATGAGCAGACAGTCAACATGGTGGAGGAGTCATTTGCTGATCCAGTGGTTCATTTCAAGCAAGAAGAAATGGTCTTAGGTACAGAGCAGCAGCTTGAGAGGGAAAGCAAGACCGATTCCATACATGACAATGCTCAATCTAGTGAACAAGATAAAATGAGTGACTCGGATGTCAAATGCAATGATGACAAAACTGTTCCTGTGGAAAGATCCATAGATAAACTTTCAAGACAGAATAGGAAATCCATGTGGTTGCTCGCATACGTTGCCATCATGACAACATGGCCACTGGTAGGTGCAACTCTCCTCATTGTCTTCAGGAAGAAGATCAAAAATATCCTACCAGCAACATGGCTTAGAAAATAGGTACAAACTCCATTCTAGTTGTTATTAGTGGACATTATATGTCATGCATTCCAAATTGGGAAAAATTATATGGTGCAGCAGGGGCCAACATGCGTGGCAGGATTAATCATTCCTCATCAGATGAAAATGAAACCATTCTTGAGTAATAAGAAAAGCCCGCTCATTGAACTTGATTCCTATGAATCAGGGAGAACATTTTTTATCGTTCATATCATAAGTATTGTAAGCAGCATTTTCAGTAACAATACTGTAAACCTTTCTAGTGTATTCCTGTTCTGAAACCACCAAAGTTCATTAACATCTAAGTGTTTTATATAATTTTATAGTGTTATGCATAATTTTCCCAAGAAATCAATATACAACTTAACTAAGCCTTTGATTCCCACAACCGTGGACTTTGGTGGGAGGTTATTAGTGTGGTGCTGCGCTGTTTAAACAACCCCTATGGGGGATTCAGGCATATCAACAAACAGTACAGGTTGAATGGTAGTCTCTCATTTTATGCATTATGTCAGGCCCCTGTTCTTGAGATACACAAGGTTCAGATCTTTATGAATGCCCAAACTATATTGATAAATTGCTTGTTGAAAGGTTTAACTAAATTCTCTCATCATCTTTTAGGTTCTCCTAGTGGTTTTAATTGCCAAATATAGCTATGTTGCCAGTCAATGCCTGTCGGTATAAGTTTTCATAATAACAGTAGCCGCAAGACCATTAACCACCAGCCATCTACCGGTAAAAATTTGTTCCAGTGGATTTTAGATCTTCGCCGGTGGTCATGTATAATTATGTTGGTGGTCAATGTATGTTGGCATAAATTTTCACTACAATAGCTGGCCTTCCACTAGCAAAAAGCTATACTGACAGTTTTTTTTTGTTGTTGATCTAGGTCGTGGTTTTTGACTGTTGCCATAGAGCTTCTTTGAGTAATGAGAATGAAATACGTGTTCACAATTATTTTTCATGTTGCAAGCCACCTTAATTTTTGTATCATGTGCTCATTGTTTATTCTAAAAGGGTTCAACTATGATATGGAAAAGATATGATATCTGAAAATCTTCTGACCAATCAATTCGAATGATAAACTCATTAGCCAATTAGGTGTTATTTATCAAAATTTATGGGTGGGTTTTGATTTGTCAAAACTCTTCCCATACCATGTCTTTCCTGCATCATAGATTTTCCATATATATATATATAGTGAGAAAGTCTCCTATGTCCTAATGTTTGTGATTCGTTTCCATATATATATATATAGTGAGAAAGTCTCCTATGTCCTAATGTTTGTGATTCGTTTCCATATATATATATATAGTGAGAAAGTCTCCTATGTCCTAATGTTTGTGATTCGTATATAATATACATTTGAAATAATAAATTTTGCAAGTCATCTCTTTTTGGTTCCTAAATCAACTCCCATAATATCATAATAAGATTAAAGTAAAATATCTATACCATCTTTTTTTACTCCTAATATCTAATAAAATTGTAGCTAAACAATATAAACGAGAAATATTTTTGTAATATTTTTTAAAATTAATTTCCAATACTTTAACAATATTTTTGAATTTTAAATCATTTCTATATTTTACAAAACATTTACTAATTATATGTAATTGGTTAATTAAACACAAGAAGTTGGATAATAATCACCCGAAAATAAATTAGTTGCATTATAAAAATATTGTAAAAAATCTTGTATACAAATTGCAATTTCCCAATCTTCTTATTCACTAATAAAACCATGGAGACTCTTTTATTATAAAAATTAGTAATAATTTCTTTATAAGGAATACAACTACATGACATGGTATATTTTGAATTCCACATATGATAAACATCTAATACAAATCCTTTATATTTTATCCCCTATTGTTCACATAAACATTTAAGTTCTTGTTTTCTTTTTCCAGAAGTTATAATATACATAAGACAAATTTTAATTTTATAAATATAAGGTGAAATAATATTTAAAGCTTCTTGTACATATAAATTTAAAATGTGACGTGAAATTGTTGGGCCAGTATGTGCCCCAACATATTTTTAATTTTAAAACATTTATAGTAGAATCATTATTACAATCATTATCAAAACTAATAGAACAAAAACTTTATTTTCGAATCTATAAATATGTAAAATATTTAAAATATTTGTAGCAATTGTTAGCCCAGTATGTAGCCATTCAAGTCTTGTAAGACTTTAAAATTCTCTTTTGTAAAAGCCAACAATCATCAATAAAATGACTTGTTATACAAATATAAGTATATAACTAATATTATATTTGGTTTAAGATTTAAATAGAAATTAAATGTTGTTTGGATGAAGAAAACAATAATCTTAGAGCATCTGCTCGAATAGTATTTTTAAACTTTTTTTAAATTGGAAATTTATAAATTCTTATAAAACTTTTTCAAGCCTAGGGTCTTCAACAAATAAAAGTGATTGTTTAGCATGTGCAATATATTTTGCTAATTCTTATCTCAAATTTTCTTGTAAATATTCAAAATTACCAAAAGTCTCATGCCCAATTTGTGTTTGAGTTCCATCATTATTGTTTTATAAATAATTGGCCATGTGTCTAGCCAAATGGCCAACGCCCCTTTGCTACTATTACTAAAATCACTTTTGTATCTCATGCAAACCGCTCTGCTTTCCCTTTCTTGAACATTTTATATTTGAAACTTTTTTTCAGACATCACTAATTTTTCTCCTGCCACCCTTAGAAGCAGCACCAATGAAGGTGGTTCCTTCAATAATAGTATCACTAACACCCTTGTAAGTCCTTTCTTAATACGAGTAGACATCACCAAAGTTGTAGGGAAAGGGATTGGGAGAGGAGCCTACCATTTTAATAAATTTTAAATAATAAAACCCTAAAAATGAAAATTAATTATCACTTACCAAATCTGCCAATCCGGTATCCCAACTTGATTTAAACGAATGAAGTTTAGAATTAGGGACTAAGGAGCAAGAGAGAGTATAGGAGTGTATGAGAATATGTGATTAAATGAGTGAGTGGTTGGAAATAATTTAATTAACCAAAATACCCTTGAAAACTATTCATTTTATAGTTGTTAGGAGAATTTTGGTCCTTTATAAAGTTAATTATTACTTTATTAATATGCCCCCAAACTAGCTATTATGTAGTTGTTGGGGGTATTCAAGTAATTTTGTCTCCCAAAGCCAAAATACACAAATACCCTTCCAAACTAGCTATTTATAGCTATTAGGGGGTATTTCTTTTAAAAACCCAAAAAAAAAGGAATATAGTCATGGGGGACCTGCTATGACTATTAGAAAGTGACCCTATGCGGCCTAAAGCAAGCCAGCTTTGTGTCATGTCATGTTGGGCTACTATGCAAGTCAAGTCATGCCAAGCTGCTATGTATGTCGTGTCATGCTAGGTCGCAAGTCATGAGGAAACATTCTCGTGATGTGTCTTCCCAGCCCATGGTCCTTAAAATCAAAGACCAACACAAACCCCATTGTTAGAGTGACCAGGTTGTGCCTTGTTCTAGTAGTAGATTTGAAGTGGTCTCTTGAGGCTCTATGACATGAACGTAATGCAATAATTCTCTAGTTATCCAAATTACTACCCTGTATTTTGAGGGTAATGGAAATTACCACCTAAACCTTCATTTGCAACAAAGACCCCCTTGAACTTTCCAGTTTTAATATAGATCCCCTTATAAGCATTCTATTAGTTAACTTTGAAAAAGACTCTTATGTGACTTTAAATTTTTCTAAATCTTCAAATTACCCTTCTACCAATGATTTTTAGGGGGTGTTTTTTTTTTTTTTTTGGACATTGAAAGGGGAGAAAGTTGGTCAATGGGACTTTGGTTCCCATTGACCAAGAATCCCATGTTCTTTTTTCAGATTATTGTTTAGACCAGGGAAAGTTTATTTTCTAGGTAAGTGATACCCATCTTTTTAGGTGGGTAAATAACTTTCCCACCAAGGGAAAAAGTTTTCAACATTTGAATGCAACAAAAATGTCCCTTTTAATAATGGATTTTTATGGCTAAAATGATCATTTTCTTTTTTACTTGAAAAGTAAAAGAACATGGGTAATACACTTACCTAGGTAAGTGTTTCCCAGGGAAAACTTACCCAAGTAATTGCATTTACCCGAATAAGTAACTTACCAAAAAGTGAATGAGGCCTTAGTTTTTTTTTGTTGCAATTTTCATTTTATATAATTTTATGGGTGGTAATTTTAGTAAATTAAGGTTATTTTCAATATGGGGATCATCCTTATCCCTGAGTGTCGTAAGGTGATGGGCAGATGTTGGAACAATAATATCTTTAATACCCCCTTTAGTTTGGAGGTGGGTAAGCAAATCTTAAACTTGCCATGAAACCAAGCAAACCATGGACTGACAAGTGACTTGGTAAAGACATCTGCAAGCTGGTGCTGGTCCTTATTGGTGATGGAATGAACCACAATTCTCTTGGTCTAAAAGTGTTGCGAACAAAATAAACGTCTACATCGATATGTTTTGAATGTGAGTGAAAAATAGGATTGGAGGAGAGGTACGTAGCACTGATATTATCGCACCATATAACTAGTGGAGAGTTGAGAGGAATATAGAACTCTTGGAACAAGGAGCACAACCAAAGAAGTTCAAAGGCATTAATAACAATGCTATGAAACTCAACCTCCATGATGGACCTGGACATCGTGGCATGCTTCATAGAAGACCAAGAAACAATGTTGTAACCCATGAATATACAAAAGTCATCATGGGCCGCCTTGTGGTCATCACTCATCAGGGCAATCCACCTAATTAATCTTCTCCTCACACCTGGCGCCTCCCACGCACATCTTATTAATTATTATTATTCACGGGAGATGTTTCCAATGCACGATGGATATGCATGTGAGGCGCCCATTTGTGAGGAGCAGATCTTGTCTCCATAATAGTAAGTAGAGACCCAAAATCGAGTGTGTATTTGAGATACCATAGGATCCGTTTGACATGTACACAACCAATGAAATTTAGTGGGACGATGCATGAATTGGCAAACCTTTGTGACAACAAATGAAAGGCCTAACCTTGTTAACCTTGTAAGGAGAATGTATTGGAGAGCATTGAGTGCCCATACTCAGATGGATTGATGAGAAGGGGATCACCACCCTCATTAAAGAGATTAATGCCTACAAATGGTGGAGTGGGCGCAAGCTTTGAATCATCCATGTGGATACTGAGAACAAAATCAAGAATGTACTTTCTTTGAGAGAGGAAAAGCTCAAAAAAAGAGGGGAGAATTTCACTGTCAAGAAATAAATGTAATGGGCAAAGATCTTTAACCACAAAGG